TATATATATGTTATAAAAAGTATAATTCATTTGATTTGTAAATCATATGAATTTTGCAATTACAGTGAGTTCCTTTCCTCCAACCGTTAGTACTATTTAAGCTAAATATTTAATGTGTCTTTATAGAAGGAAGCATTTTAATTTGATGTAGCCTGAAGCAAAAAATGTTTAATGACATCTCTATGAAGAAGGCTTTGAAGAATAAATCAAAAAGTATAAACCTCTCTCAAAAGGTTATTTCATCCTAAATAAAAGCTTCTTATCAAAATAATTTGCTTGTACTTATACAGATGAAGTATATGCCTTTCAGAAGAAAGAATTTTTAGGTTATACCAATGCCTTTTCTAATTTGTAAAACTTATATAGTACTTGGAAATTAACGTTCAAAGAAATATAACAGTATTGCTTTTGAACTATACTACTTATTTGAAGACATTGGAACTAGTGAGGCATTTCTGTCTAAGGAGAGGGTCTTGAACTATTTCATTTTTAAATAAAAAATTAAATCTTGCAATCTATAACTAACATTCACAGAACAATAGCAGCTTCCCTTTATCCAGATGTTATCTTGGTACAGCTTAGTTCACATGGGTGTATATTCTGTGTGTGCATGTTGCTGTTTTTAAGTGAATTAGCTCTCCTATCAAAACTCAGATATTGTTGGAAAAGAAAAAGTGATTCATTCTTCTTAATTATATAAATGGAGAGCATAGAATGAGGGACAGTTGTTCAGATACACATGTCTTTGTGCCTGACTTCATCTTTTATCTCGATTACAAAATCTGAACAGCCACCAGATAGGAACGAGGAGTCAGTTTTCTGTATTTTTTGCAGCTCATATAAAAAGGGGACATAAAAGCCTTTTCATAGCAAAAGAATATGAACCAAAATGTCTGGTTTGAATATAGACTGAAATGTTTTCCATATGATTGTCTTTTAAAGAGTAATATAGTTTCATTTCACTCAGGAACCATTAATGAGATGTTAAGCATCTGATAGTTTCTGCCCCTCCCCTGTATTGAAACACATAACCTGTTCTACCGTCAAAGTATAACAAGCCCTTTGAATATATAAAATAGTAATGAATGAAGAAATTATTCATTTTAAATAGCTCCACTGATATATGAGGGAGAAAGCAGTTGCAGACAAAAATCCACACCGAAAGGTATCCCAACATCTCTACTTTAGGTGTTAAGCACTGTTATTATTATTGTGGAATCAGGTTGTATTTCAGTGGAATAGTCTATCCATAGGACTGGGATTCCAAATATACATGACCTTATGTCAAATTCATTTTTAAAATTATAGCATATTAAAAAAATTATAACCTCTTGCAACAAGATATTTTCCATTTACTTGAATGAGAGGCTGTTTCTGTTTCTTAGGAATTTGTTTGTCCAATTTTTGTACTATTATTTCAGTCTCTTTTGACATTTTTGAGACTTATATGAAACTATTTTAAGCCAGATCATGTCTCAAATTGTTGGGCCACTAAAGAAAAGGTGCGTTTTAAGTCTAAGATTGTTCAATACTTACATAAACAACAGCTACCGCTCATGTTTAGGTCATCTTTAATATTTACTTTTAAAAAATGTTTGTTTCTTTATTTACTTATTTGACAAATTTATATGGCCACCCAACTCTTACACGGTTGAGTTCCAGAATTAAAACTTATCAGATACATTTATTATTATTTTAGAATATATAGATTTGAAACACCTATTAATCCTGGCTTCCACTAACCATAGATTAATTTGTCTATAGTTTCTATTGCTTTGTTTCCTATTAATACAGCTGAATCTGTAAATCTATGACAGATTTGAACTAATTTAAGTAATGGAAACAGTCACTTCTATAGAAAATTTAAAATTATAGCTCCTAAGATAGTTTCAGCAAATCCATGACACTTAACTTTATATATAAGCATACTTATATATAAATAAATACACACTTTTTACTTATAAATACACACTTTTGAATCAGCTTAAATAGGTATTTTTTTAATAATAATGCAATTGTTATGGGCACTAATCAGTTAATAAAATATATTTCAGAAGGAGAGATCTTTAAAAATACATTTTTGCTGTCATGCCTGGTTTATGCAGTACTGAAAACATAAATTGTACAGAAACGTGCTTAAGGAGGAAGATGTTAAATCAGAGGTCATGTTTCTGCAAACAATCACAGAAACTGAGCCAAGTGATATGGCATCCATCCAAGTCTCCCAGGAACTTTCCCTGTAAAGGAGACATGCTAAAAATGACAATGTACCAACATTGCTCAATAGACTTAGTAGCACTCATACCTCAAATATACTTATATTGGGAGTATAGTATTCTAGCATATCTTCATTCTAAAACCACTACTAGGACAGCATCAAATCTCACCAATAACAAATATCTCCTGTATGAAGGAATTAAGAGAATTGTAATTAATTTGCCATTTTAATCCTTGACTCCCTCAGTTACAGTGCTCAAAAACATCATTTTTTTCTCATTCAGACAAACAAGATTATTAAGGATGTAACATTCATTCATTCATTCATTCATTCATTCATTCATTCATTCATTCATATTTCAAATTTGAAAT